CTACTCCTCCACAGTAATCTGCTTCATTAATAATCATCTGCGTCTTTGAAACCAGTGGACAAATAAACGGTAATAATTACAGCAATAACAAAGAGGGATGTGTGAAGCGAGAGCAGACATGATGGAGGAAAAGCTGAGTGGAGGTCAAAGAATCATCCTGGAGACGGAAATCCTGGTCTGTGTCTGACCCTTCAGACACCTTATTTGCCGTCTACTCTGCCAATACAATTTCCCAAACACAATATGCCTCTCACCATATTCATGCCTTTGTCTCTCTGAATGTTTTCATGCACTCATTCCTGCAGAGTAGAAATTAGCTTTTGTCCTGAAAGCACTCGCATAGATGCTATAACGTCAGTTACATTCTGGGAGGATGAAGTACATCAGTGTGTTCTTCCCGACAATGCCTGGTCTCTGCAAGATTACTCACTGTCTACAAAAAGACTTGGGATTTTACACAAGGAGTCAACCATGGATTACTTAAAAATCACTTTAACAGAGTAAAGTTTAGATAAATTTGAACTACAATGTCGAGTCATGGAGAGTTATTATTTTCTTGCCTTGTTGCAGATTGTGTAAATATAACAAAGCCAAATTGTACAATACATGAAAGGTTCACTATGACGCACCAATGAGTGAATCAGCTGAGCCATCTGGAGGAAGTTCCACACCTTGAGACCAAACCATGTGATTTACTAAAGGGATTTCTGTTAAGATGAAGCATTCCTCTGATGTTCGCACTACATGGCCTCAGGTTCCTGAAAGGCTCGTGGCTCATGTGCACCTCATGTGATGCTTTTTGTCTTTGACTTCGCTCTCATACCGACGGGAGGACACAGAAAAATGCCACTATTACAGAATTGTCGTGCGTGGTTTTCCTCATGTCGTAATTCTTCTAACTCGCTGAGCACTAAGCAGCAGAGTGGTGGAGCTCAGTAACAATAATTAAACGATGCTACTTCCTCTTTTACATTCTGTCTGCTGTCTCAGCTTTCCATTGTGTGTGTGCTGCTTTATGCTGAGAGTCTGGTGAGAGCATGACATTTGCAGCGGCAGCTTTGAGAATCCGAGTGTGAAACTGTCAGCAGAAGTGCATTTTGCATTGCCCACGTGTAACTGTGTCACAGCACAACTTGGTGTTTAACGCTCTTATTCTAACTGTGCATCGTCTCCTGTTCTTCTTTTTTTTTTTTAGATATTTTAACCTGCGGCTGAAAAGGGATACAACTTTATTTTCTCCAGATCTCATCATCGAGGTATCGGGGGAGGAGACGCCCTTCGATACGTCACATATTTACAGCGGAGACATCTTTGGTAAGCACAGCTGTTTCCACACACCAGGACCAAGATTTCAGTTAAAAATCTGCATCGTCTCTTCTCTTTTTATCATCTTCACATTATCTCTTGAGTGACTTGTCTGTGTGAGAAAGCAGCTGAGTTCTCCTTTTTGCAGAGCGTTCGACACATCACAGCCGTACATAAAAGCAGGACTCGCTTTTCCCCTTTTATCCAGCTCTTTCTTTGACTCTCATTCCCCTTCCTTCCTGGACAGCTTCCTGCTGCCCGTCTCCAGCTGAGTTCAGTCAAACATGAGTAAAAAACAAGGCTGTTTATTCTGCTCTGATCAATGTGTGCGAATCAAAGAGAAGGAAAACAGACACTTGTATTTTAGTTACTCGTTTAGAGCGGTACATGAGCTGATGCATTAAAGAAGTTAGTAAAACCTTGATGGGATGTATACTGTACATAAGTATCTTTAATATTTGCTCAGAAATTTTCCAATTTGTAAAAACATATTGACGCAAATCTTGAGTTGTAAAATATTAAATCCTCACAAATGTTTTGACCCTTAAGTTTCAAATACACAATATGTTGTTCAAAATGAGAGACACACGGTTGGTAAAGAAGGCACAAAAAAGACTCCACTTCCTGAGAATCGTCAGGAAGAACAACATCAGCCAGAGACTGCTTGTGTCTCTTTACCGCTCCACCATGGAGAGCATCCTCACCTTCTGCCTCTGTACGTGGTTTGCCAGCTGCACAGTGGCAAACAGAAAAGCCCTCCAGAGGGTCACCAAAATGGCTGAGAAGGTGACTGGGTGCCCTCTGCCCACACTGGAGGACCTTCATGGCTCTTACTGCCTCAGGAGAGCCAACACCATCCTGAAGGACTCCTACCACCCGGGACACTTCCTGCTAGAGCTGCTGCCGTCGGGCAGACGGTGCAGGGCCATCAGAACCAGGACTAATAGACTGATGAACAGCTTTTTTTTTCCTACTGCTGTGAGGACAATAAATGCCTCCCTGTCACAATAATATGTAATATACTATAAATATACAACTCCACTGCCTCTGCCCAATATCCACTCTGTTCTTTTTGCTTGTGTTGTGTATATATATTTCTTTTATATTGTATATAGTGTTTTACAAAGTTTTTATTGTTTTATAAAGTTTTTATATTTTTGTTTTTTGCACGGGAAGGCCTGCACCTTACGTTTCGTTTTACTCGTTACAATGACAGTAAAACAAATCTGAATCTGAATCTGACACCCCACGTGTGCTTATGATCAGAATGTGGCAAACAAGACCAGAGTTATTATATAATATGCAAACCACTGTTCGAGGATTCAAGGAGCTTTATTTGTCATGCCAGCTCACATTCACATGTTTGTGGTACGAAATTACTCCTCAGGTCCCGTTTTTTTTAAAGAAAAAACCTCATAAATAATAAATACAATAAAACAAGGGCAACATATAAGTAAAAATAGAGCAATATAAGTGAAGGTGAAGGTATATGAAGGTGGTAGGTATTGATCTGCTCGACTGTTCAGACCAGAAGCTTTTCACTGCATGTTTAGTGCTTCCATTGAAAATATCTTTCTCTGTACACAAAGACTGTGCCATTTATTTTTGTCTGCCTCTGCTCACCCTCCTCCTCTCCTGTGTTTTAGGAGAAAAAGGCACGCTGACCCATGGCTCTGTGGTGGACGGACGCTTCGAGGGCTTCATTAAAACCCACCAGGGAACGTACTATGTGGAACCCTCGGAGAGGTACCTGCAGGACAAGAACGCTCCCTTCCACTCTGTCATCTACCACGAGGATGACATCAGTAAGTACACTTGTTTTTGTGGAATGTGCTGTTAGGCAGCTACGTTTAAATCAATATCAACTGCATACAGGAAGCTGATATGGGAGGGAGAGGCTTTGATTTACAAGGCTTTATAGATGACTCATACACGCAGCTTGTTGGACACGTAGTAGTAGCGCCAGCAGTTTGTACAGGCAGCTTTTGAAATGCACCGTCATAGATGCGTACCGGCTAAAGATGACGACATTTAAGGAATCACATTTTGATACTGTTACTATATGGAATTGATAAACTTAAAGGCAGACTTTGCTCTAGTATTATGAGGAATACGATTGCAGTGTGAGGCTGAAGACTAAGCGGTTCACAGACTAGCCTGACAAGATCTATGAAAAGGTTACGGTTGACAGACTGGCAGCAGCAGGATTTGGCTCGGGGTTCTGGACCATTGGCAAGGTGGTCAGTATTAATACTGCAAGAAGGACTGGAGCCAGATAGAGCGTAGGAATACATTCTTGCTATGATTAGGCTACTACACGATTCAGATTCAGAGTCAGGAGACAGCAAGTTTCCCAGTCTTTTCCTTCAAGAACTGGAAAAATATCTGGAGGTAATTTGTAGATTTCAAGCGAGCTGTGGCTGTGGGCAGACACAATGAAGCAAACACTGCATGAGTCAAAACGCTGTTCAGTAACTTGAGACTCATGATTCCAGCCCAGAGCGTTGCATTTAGCAGAGAAGGCAGGGAGTCTGATATGAACCCTGCCCTACCTTTGGGCCGCCTGATCCTCACTGCACTCCCTCCTGCCGGTCAGTTCTCTGGAACGCACCAGCACACACACATGCCCGACCACGGACGGTTGCATTCTTTTGCAATGCAGACAGAAATTTTAGCAAATGTATCTGAAACTGGCTTGCAGATTTGCTTGGAGTGAAAACACCAATTTAGATGCGCTAAGAGTGAACCGTGAAACGCTGAAGTCACGGGTGCACAGCAGGAGCACGCCAGCCTGTCAGTAATGAGGGAGAAGCAGCTGGTTGGAGGCTTTGGAACAGAAGGTTTCAGGTGAAAGGCAGGAAAAATGAAACCCACACAGAAGACTGTCGGACTTCTTACCACCGCTAATAAACTTAACATTTAGATTTGTGTGTTTGTTATCCAGCGTGTGTCATGTTTTCATAGATCTGGCCGTCATCCTTACCTGTTACCGCTACAGTCAGCTCTGATTTGGCGTGTTTTCATGTCAACAACACTTTCCTACTAATCATTGCTGAGTAGGAGAGGAGTGGGCGGGGGCTTTACAGGGTTGTGTGAGTGTTTTCTAAAATGCACCATAATATTTTAGGCGATATTTCACATAATTTTGATGCTGTCCTTCATGCACATCAGTGTGGAGACGATGAGGAGCTTGCAAGTGGTCCTCGCGAACATTCCTGCGTTAAGTTGTAAAAACAAAAGAAGACGCAGCGTGAGCACTGTTATATAATACTAAAACGATATTAAAACCAGGAGCTGAAAGGTGCATCCATTAGGTGGTATTTCAACAGACAGCAGTAAATCTGTACAGAGCGTACTGACGGTATAAACTGTACTCACATAGTCCTCAGAATAAAACCACGTTTTAAATTCAGCTCACGTCTTTCTGTCGCCCATAATATCTTGAATGAATTGTGAAATCTTGCTTTTTAAAAGTCTCTGATGCTACTGTGAGTGAAAATGGTGGCGGGATGATGTTTAAAGAGTCCTCACTTCTGACTCTCAGCTTTTTTTCTCTCAACTTTTTGTTACTCCGGCCCAAAATGTAAAAGCCTTTTGATTAGCAGTTGAATGACACAGCATTCACTGTGGGCACAAAGACCGCTTTCTCAGAAAAAAAAAATCAAAAACACATTGTCAGAGGTTGAATGTGTCGTTTCAGTGTGTGTTCAGTCCGTTTAGTCACCAGCACAGGGCTGATCGCTTTACTGAATGGACAATGATGGTTCTAGGCTGAATTCCTGCATCACTGTTCACAGAATCAGGAGTTTCACAAACGGCTCAAAAGCAAGCGGCCCTTTGGTTTAAAACACTTTGGGTAAAACCAACACGATCAAAACACATTGATTTACGGCCTTAGGAAGTCAGAGTATTCTACCCTGATGTCAGAATGTTTATCAAAGTGCATTTTTCATATTCCATCCATCCATCCATTATCTACACACCGCTTAATCCTCACTAGAGTCGCGGGGGGCTGGAGTCTATCCCAGCTGACTCAGGGTGAAGGCAGGTTCACCTGGACAGGTAACCAGTCTATCACAGGGCTACACTTAGAGACAGACAACCAAGCACACTCACATTCACACCTACGGACAATTTAGAATCACCAATTAACCTCAACATGTTTCTGGACTGTGGGAGGAAGCCGGAGAACCCGGAGAGAACCCACACTGCACGGGGAGAACATGGAGACTCCACGCAGGTGTGTCCTCACTGAGACGCGAACCGGTGACCTTCTTGCTGTGAGGCAACAATGCTAACCACTCATCCACCTTGCAGCCCATTTTGCATATTAGTCCCTTTAAAATAGTAGAAAACTCCATCACACTGTCTGATTATTATTTTTTTTATTATTGCTCGAGCTATTTTTCAGCCCCTGAGCATCATTAGACTCACAAAGACATAATACTGCTTCCCAGTTGACATTTTGGCGAATTACTTTCACAATGAGCGACAACTTCCTGTAAATGCTGAAGCATAATTTTATAGCAGTGGGTTGCACCAGCTGCTTGACTGAAACAATATATGACTGCAATGCCCTTCACTTTTAGTTATCACCAGTCATCAGTCTCTTTGTTTTTACCCCCATTATGTGTGGCTGCTTTTTCAGGGGTGAACTCGGAAATCAAACACAATTCCTTGTGGGTGAGGCAGCTGTGTCGTTGCTGTGTGGTATAAGAATGATCCCATCTTGTTTTCCTCGCCACAGATTCATATATTGTTGTTGAAATGTTTATGGTTAACGTGAGAACACAGATTTGCTGTCCCTTTAAACACACTTTGATTGCGTTTGTTGACTGGAATTTCTTGGTAAATTGGAAAATGTCTGGGCAGCACAGAAATGCAAATTTTTTCAATTAGTGGAGGCAGATCATGGGTAGATGTCTTTTCTCCGCTCAGATTGAAAGTTGAAAGAAAGATAGATATAAATGAGAGAGGAAGATGACACCGATTTTTTGCGAGAGATAAGCTGCATCGCGCAAGCTTTTCATTTAATGCAGCTACTCTTGCGTCCGACTCACCCCGATTCACCTCCTTCAGCCCGCCACACATGGTTCTAAACAGATCCACGATGCGGTATAAGCTCTTCACAATCGTTCCCTTATCTCCTCCCTATCTGCCAGATTATCCTCATAAGTATGGCTCAGAGGGCGGCTGTGCTGACCACTCAGTGTTCGAGAGGATGAGGAAGTACCAGACGTCAGGAGCAGAAGAGCCTGGAAAAGTAAGTGCCGGCCGGCCAGCATCACAACAAAACCCCCCTCCCCCTCCTTCACACACATAATTAAACACACAGATGGACGCGACTCATGAGATTAAAAGATCTCGTCTTCATTCCCAGCGTACCTTACCCCAACAGTAAAAGCATGTGTTTACTTTCGGTGTAGAACCTCTCAGTTTATAACCTGACTCTTAGCAGTGTAGGAACCTTGTTTAACTTTTAAAAATGCAACAGTATTATTTAAGTACAGTAAGCTTCTTTTCCAGGAGTTGTGGGATGAAAGTGATAGCACGTCATATCATCAGAACATAAAGTATTATTCTACACAGTGGCTTCATCCACCCGACACTGCAGAGCAACGCTATCGGGCCTTGAGAATAAGAGGGAATTATCATAATTAAATAGACTTAATGTCATCAGAATTGATTATTTTCCTTGTGGTATGCTTAACCATCCATATTTTTCTGTGCAGAGGCAGAACAGTGTGTTGGAAGAGGACAGCTCCCATGGTCCTGTCATTCTGAGGAGGAAGAGGGCAGCAGGGAAGGAGAAAAACACCTGCCAGCTCTTCATCCAGACCGACCACCTCTTCTTCAAATACTACGGCACAAGAGAGGCCGTCATTGCCCAGGTATGGAAGACACACATACAGCATGGAAACGTCACCTAAGTCTGTGAAAAACAATGGACTTCAAAGTGTGGTTAGCTGATTAGCATTGGTCTGCATTGCCAGGGGTTAGCTCACCTCTGTCCTTCCTTTTGGCTGCTGCCTGGCTTGCAATGCACCCTACCCTCATTTTTTCAGTGCTAAAAAAGGCCTGTTTGGTCAATGAACAACCACCACATGCTGGAACACTGGGTGAAACTTCTGGGAAGAGGAACATCTGGACAGCTTTTCTATAATGCTGCCACTGCAACCTGACTCTGGTTAAACAGCAGAAAACAAACGGATGAACTCCTATAAAACTGTCAGACTTAACAAGTGTCAAAATTAATTCAGAGAAACTACAGATATCACAGTCATTATTACGTGCATTCTTCTTGCTTCACAAAACCAGGTCATCACTACCCACAGTGTTGTCTGACTCACCAGATGTTTGCACAAGTTTTCTATTGGTCACATATTTTACATAGATGTCTCCTTTTCTTCTGCTCTCTCTGTGTTACTGTTTTCAGCTTTGGAAAATAAATAATAAACATTTAATTTAAATATATTTTATTTTAGTTTGTTAGTTTTTATAATGTAATTCTAAATTTAAAGATTGTGGTGATCTTATGACATTGAAATAAAACGTGTTTAACTTTTTGTCGTTCAAAATATGTGTCACATCCGCTGATGTGTGACACCCGCTGGTACACGCAGTGTTGCCGACTTGGTGACTTTCTCGCTAAATCTGGTGATTTTCCAAAACCTCTTGGCTACTTTCTTTTTGTCAAAAGCGACTAGAGACAAATCTAGCGACTCTTTCTGGTGTTATTGGAGACTTCTTTGGTGTTTTGGAGACTCTGATGTGGAAACAAGCTCCTTCCGTCCCAAAGCGCTCACAGGCGGTCAGGAGTCTGGTCAGCAGTCCCAGCTGCAGTCAGCAGGACAACCAGATGTCATTTTTACTTTGCTGCAGGTGGATAACTTAAATTCGGCTTTTTATTTTATAAATACGAGGAGGACTGAAATTGACATTGAGTATTTTGTTTGAAAGTAACCTTCAACCCAGCGTCAAAAGGCTTTTGTGGCTCCTGGTGTTTTCTTTTTTTTGGGAAACGGGTCCAAATGGCTGTTTGAGTGTTTAAGGTTGCTGACCCCTGATCTAGATCATGAAGTGAGGCAGGCCTTCGTTTTTTCACTGAATTAATCATTTCAATGAGAGGATTCACATCAGTGTGTGCAAGTGTTCTACCAAAACAATTCCTTCATCACCATTTTTCTGGAGACATCTGCGTTCTTGGCTTAGGCTCTGCCCAAAACGATTGTGGTTGCTTTAAAGAAATATAATCGAGCCAGTTTCTTTTTTTTTTTCTTTCCCTTTAGTAGGATGGTGCATTCTGTGCTGCAGAATGGTCTGGCTGTGTGAAACTACCCACTGTGCAACCAGACCTCTGACGGTTTTGTTAGAGATTCAGGTATATTATAGTAGTAGCAGCAAAAGTAGCCTTGAGCCTCATGCAGAGCGGAGGAGCTACAGAGGTTGAGTAACTTCACTTTGCTGCACCACCAGGCTTCTTTTTCTCCTTTTTAAACATTTATTCTTCAGCTTTAGCATCAAAACTCATCACTCATGTAAATCTTTCTCCAACTATTTTCACATAGTATTCCCTAAGACCCGTAAACAAACTTTGATGTGCAAAGTCAGTGGTTCCTCTTTAATGTAACGCAGTTGTGTGTTTCGTAGGAATGTGGAAAAAAAAGCATGTGGTCTTCATTGCAACAGAAACAAGAGAAACTGGCTCTAATATGTTGTTTTGTTTTCCACGGCTGTATTTGTCTTGCTGCTTACCCGAACAAATATTCTCCACAGATCTCCAGTCATGTGAAGGCGATCGACTCCATTTACCAGGCCACAGACTTCATGGGCATACGAAACATCAGCTTCATGGTGAAAAGGATCAGGGTGAGTTGAAGGTTATGTAACATCTGACCTGAAGGAGATCATCCAGCTAATATTTTTATTGGAGAAGTCTGTTGATCAACTGAGTTTCCTGTAAAAGTGTATTTTCTTCCTCGCATGCTCCATGTACTTGTTCAACTCTCTTTCAGATAAATACCACCGATGATGAAAGGGAAAAGAGCAATCCTTTTCGCTTCAGCAACATCGGAGTGGAGAAGTTTTTGGAGCTGAACTCTGAGCAGAACCACGATGACTACTGCCTGGCCTACGTCTTCACTGACAGGGACTTTGACGATGGCGTTCTCGGCTTGGCTTGGGTCGGAGCTCCTTCAGGTCGGTACCAAACACACACACAGAGCCTTGGTAGCAAATTCCTGCACTGAATACTACATGTTTTTTTTTAGATTAATCCTATTACTTCATCTGTTTTTTTAAAAAGTGGAGATCAGTTTAGTTTGGGATCCCAGATCTCAGCATCACTGGCAGAATTGCTGTGGTGAGCAGAAGAAGCAGATTCGGTTTGATAACCCGGCGTCCCTGCTATCATTGCTCTGTTGGTCCTCGAAATAAAGAACAAATCTGAGATAGGACTGTCCCAATTAACCCCAGTAGGTCGTGATACGCCTCACACACTCACACACAATACTAAGTTAGTCAAAGGGCAATCGAATGCATTTTAAAGCTGTCAACTTGTGTCTTGTCAGCATGTTGTGTCTTCATTTCCTCGCTGCCTGTGTTCGTCAGGATCACTCGGTTGATCTATCAACACTGAAGTAAAGGCTTTAACTCAGAGTCTAGCAAGTTCTAGTCAAAGTTAAAGGCCAACATCAACCAGTTTTGTTCTTTTTTGTTTGTTTAATCTTCAGCATTATCTTAAATAAATCCAAGACATGAAATCTTTGCTTGCAGAGCAACGTATATATCAACACAGACATTATTGTCAGTTTGTCTGCCAACCTAGAAGAAGCAACTTAACTTCATTAGAATAATAACCTGCTTACCTTTTAGTAAGTGGTGGAAACGGAGTCTTGATAAATGCAGCGGCCATGTCAGATGAGCTGCTAATGCCAAGTAAGGTAAAGATGTGGCTTTCTGAAATGTTGTTCTAGGCATTATTGGCTGTATCTGAAGCCTGCAATATGTTAACTGGACATATTCTGATTAATTTAATATGATAAACAATGTGATGATCTACACATAGAGCCATTTATGTGAATAAATATTGTATTTTTGAGTATTTGTATACGTGACAAAGGCATTGCTGTTGTAAGTAAGTATATAAAAGAAATATCTTATCTCGTAACGTAAATAGTAGGAGTCAAGATTCACGCTGTGTCCTTCACACAGAAATCTGCCATGAACTGTCTTTTTCCTTACGTTTATGAATGATGCTTGTGGTCGGCCCTTCTCCCTTTGAATAAGCTCAGCTACCATCTCGACATGAAGAATACAACAACAAACCCAGACAGTCAATACTGGCAAATTAGCAAAGCTGTAAGCTGAAAGAATCGATTGAGTGTAAGAGATGGAGAAAAGATGGGTTGCAATGAGGTGTGCGGTCAGTGTTTGAACAAAGGCAGCCTGGAGCAAACGGTTTTGGGCACGTTTCATACATGTCTCATTTGAAGCGAGCAGCTGTTGACGTGCGTGGATTCAGTGGAGGCGCGACGTAAACACACATATGTTTGTGTAACAGTAAACAACCTGAAAAAAATGCTCGTCATAAAATGTGTAGCCATGCGTATACTTACACATAATGGACACTTTGTTTATTGCTTGAAGTGCTTGGGTCTCATGTTTCTGTGCGGCTGAAGCTGCCTCCTAATGACTGGATTTATGGATTATGGGAAAAGCAGCAGCACTGCAGACATGCTTATTACTGAGAGTGATTGCAAGTGGTTTTCAGTGTTTTGTGGTGCGTTTTCAAGTTAATTTCGTTTCTGGCATTTTGGATATTTGATTACTTTTTTATCATTTAAAGCAGCGGTCCCCAACCGCCGGGCCGTGGACCGGTACCGGGCCACACAGAAACAATAAAAATGTTTTATTGGTTTATTTTTTATCTCCAGCGGAGTCTGCAGGGTTTTCATTTTGAAAGATGACTAGCTCGTCTTCCCGTCACTTCCGTCTGTGATGGTTTCCTGCATTTGACTGTCAGTTTTTATGCCCGGCCGTTAAACGAAGCCGTCAGTCTAACCGCCGCCGAAATTAATGAAAGAAACGGAGAGCTTCTCTGAAAAGTGGGAGAGAAAGAAGAAGAAGAAGAAAGAAAAGAAGAAAAAACAAACACATATTTAGCAAATAACTTTATTCGTTTATGAAACTTTTAAATAGAAAAAAATAGAAATGTTTTGTTATGACCGGTCCGTAGAAAATGTTCTTGCTTCAAACTGGTCTGTGGTGCAACAAAGGTTGAAGATTTAAAGTACAGAAAAGCTAAATTCAGAGAACATGCTTCAGTCCTATAAGCAACCAGAATGCCCCTTAGATGATTTGTGATGTTACATTTAACATTTTATTTAATTGTTTTTCCGATACGACTCCTAATTTATCACATAGCTTTCAAAGTCATTCTAATATGCATCCAGTTTTTAAAATGGTGTACGGTAGACACCTTTGTGCACAATGTACAGTATACAACAGAAGTGAGTACACCCTTGTGCAGTATCACTTACAATTCAAATAATTCAAGATTTCTCAAAAATGCTTTGTATGTCCAACTGTATTTTAGATCAGAGGTTCAGTCCTCTTTGGCATGGAGGCTCTAAAAAGATGTTTTACTGTTCTTATGAGGCTGTTGTAGAATTTAGAGACTATTTTTAACTGCTCTTCTTTTGAATATTCCCGACACACTTGGCCAGGTCTGAGTTTCACTTTGTCTTTCTTTAGAAACTGTTGATTTTCATGATGCTGGCAGTGTGCTTTAGATCATTATCATGCTGGTTTAGTCCTGTTCTGCCAAGTTTCTGCAGCCTATGAGTCATTTTGTCAGCCAGTATTTTTGTTTATCAACGGGTGTTCATGATACCATCTCCGAGTGTCATTTCTTAAACACCTTTTGCACTCATGCGGCTCCATATCATTCGTTGTGATGCTGAATGGTTCAGTTCCCGAGCAGGTTTTCTTTATGTACCTCCCTCGTTTCAGACCAGCACCCCAGTAGCATGATGCTGCCACCGCCATGCTTTACAGTTGGTATAATTTTAGTGGCTGGCCAGACCTAATTCTTGGATTTCTGGTCAGAGAGTTGCATTTTTGTCTCAACAGACCAGAGCTTAGCAGGTTAGAGTTAGACGTGAGACATAAGACAGCCCACTCTGAGTGCTAAGTGGGTTATCGTATAACTTTTACTCAGGACTGGCTTTTATCTCGCCGCTCTACCATAAAGACGAGCTTGATCCGGCGCTGCTGTGGCTGTCGTCCTTCCACTATCTCCTCCCATCTATGTAGAGGGCTTGCAGTGCTCTGTTAGAGTGACCGTTAGGTTCTTGGTCACCTCCCTGAAGCGCCTCTGGCTGCACTCAAGACTTTATTAGTGGTTTTTATACCCGTGCCATGATCTGTTATAGCACAATGTTATCACAGATGTTTCTCTCATGGCGTCATCTTTGATTCATTAATGATTTACATGCATTTAAAATAAATCTACAACAACATTAAGCGTGCAAAAAGTGTAGGGTTCTGAATGCTCTGCTGCTCCACTGTATGTTCATACAGCCATAGGAAGGTGTTTATACTGGATATCAACGGTTTTCTTTCACTTAGGAAACATTGTGTGGGGTTTATGATCTTTTATCTTATCAGAGTTGCGTCTCTTCCTGCTTTGTGTTTGAGCTGAACCTGTTATAGAAACCTGGCTGCAGGGTTCAGTTTATTGCTCCAGTTTTTAACACGCTCGTGCCTCACGGATAAATAAACATGCTTTTGATCAAAACCAATTCATCTTGTTTTATTTCAGTGTGCAACAGTGGATTCACTTGTTGAAATACAGACAACCTTCTCGTTGAAAACTTGTATTTAAATAATACGATAATTCTTTCCACTCTTGTTTTTTTACACTCCGACCACAGGAAGCTCTGGGGGCATCTGTGAGAAGAGCAAGCTGTACTCTGATGGAAAGAGGAAGTCTCTGAACACTGGTATCATCACTGTGCAGAACTACGCCTCCCACGTCCCTCCCAAGGTGTCGCACATCACTTTTGCTCATGAGGTTGGGCACAACTTTGGCTCTCCCGTAAGTACCCCGATTTAAAACTCTGCCCTTTGCCTGTGATCTGCTTTGTCTAGCCAAGCTGTGCAGCGCAACACGTGGAGCTTTCTCTCAACCGTCTTTGCCTCCTTGTCTCCTTTACTCGGCTACTGTTTTACAGCACGACTCTGGGATCGAATGCACCCCCGGAGAGTCTAAGTTGCAGGACAAGAAGGAACAGGGAAACTACATTATGTACGCCAGAGCCACATCAGGGGACAAACTCAACAACAACAAGTTCTCCATCTGCAGCATCCGCAACATAACCGCCGTCCTGCAGAAGAAGAGAGACGAATGCTTTGTTGGTAAATTCCCCCACATTGACATCTCATACGTGCTGCTCCCCTTTGTATGTGAGAGAGAGATTCTGTTTTCACTGGGTTGGGTTTGTGTGTACAGAATCTGGCCAGCCCATCTGTGGCAACGGACTGGTGGAAGCTGGAGAGGAGTGCGACTGCGGCTACAGCGATCAGTGTACGGACTCCTGCTGCTACAGCGCCAATGAAGCAGAGGGCAGAAAGTGCAAACTTCAGCCAGGCAAAATCTGCAGGTCAGACTTTTGACAGTAGTGATGTATTTTTTTTGCTGTTATGAGCATCTGTGTAACTTTTGAATGCATATCTGTGGTTCTTTCTACTCAGCCCCAGCCAAGGACCATGTTGCACACGAGAGTGCACTTTCAAGGGCGCTAATGACCGATGCAGAGCGGAGTCCGAGTGTGCCCAGGAGGGCCGATGCAATGGAGCTACTGCTTTGTGTCCTACCTCAGAGCCAAAGCAAAACTACACGTCTTGTCACGCAGAAACACAAGTTTGCCTCAATGGAGTATGCACATGTTTATCACCCTCGAGCTGTTTCATGTCTGGTGTGATCATCGTGTGCGTTTGTATTTTAGGTAAAGATCTGAAACATTTTTTCCTGTCGCCTGCTAGGTCTGCTCTGGTTCCATTTGTGAGAAATATAAACTGGAGGTGTGCACCTGCGCCAGCCAAGATGGCAAGGATGAGGCAGCTGAGCTGTGCCATGTGTGCTGCATGGAGAAAAGTGAGTAATGTGCTGTTATTCTGTTCAAGGATAAAAATATGCAGAAGTAATCCTTACCTAAGATCATCTGATGTAACTGCCTATTAGTGTCACGTTTTGCTTTTACTTCTGTCCGTGGGAGCAGATCTTGAAAGTTACTGTCAGTATTTCAGGGGTCTTTTCTTTCCCTCCTCCCATCAGTGAACCCCAGCACCTGTAGCAGCACAGGATCAGAGAAATGGGAGAAATTCTTCAACAAGAGGGTGACCACGCTGCAGCCTGGCTCACCCTGCAACGACTTTAAGGGATACTGTGATGTCTTCATGAGGTGTCGCCTGGTGGACGCCGACGGGCCTCTGGCACGGCTAAAGAAAGCCATCTTTAATGCAGAACTCTATGAGAACATTGCAGAGTGGATAGTGGTGAGTGTCCCAGCATAGAATATGTGAAACAAGTCTCTGGTTTAGCCAACGATAAACATCTTTAAATGAATCCATGTAGGAAGTGCTTTTACAGTGTTTCTCACCTGTGTTTAAATGTCCTTTGCTATATTCGCTGTTCTTCAGCACCACTGGTGGGCAGTGCTGTTGATGGGCATTGCTCTTATAATGCTCATGGCTGGTTTCATCAAGATCTGCAGTGTCCACACCCCCAGCAGCAACCCCAAACTTCCTCCACCAAAGCCACTGCCAGGTACGGTACATTAAACAATGCCCTCCAAAAGTACGTTAACCCTTTGAAGCCCAGGCTGTATCTTACTGTGTTCTTGCTCCTGCAACATTTTTATTAACTGTGGGCTTGTTTCTCACTGCAATATAAAGTCCTGCACCTCTGTGGAAGCAGCACAGCCGTGGCTAGCAGTAACACACAAAGATACCTTCTGTGCAGCAGTGCTGTTTTTGACTATACTGCCTCCTAATGCATGCTAACAGAACAGTGAGGATGCATTATGTTGCATACTACTGAAGGGATGTTTTTATTTACATGTTTATTCTCATGCAAACACAGTATTCAGATACTTGAGTGCAGCTTAAAGCGAAAAAGGAAAACAAATATGCATGACTAGAGAGATGTTAAAACAATTGAAGAGCTTGTTTAATGTGCTTACATACATCATTTACCTCAGACAAACTGACACCTGAAAACAGTCCAGAGATGATGGACATAAGCTGTGCATGTAGCTCCTGATCTAAAGACGTGACAGACAGAAACAACAACCTGATGGGCTTGATTTTATTAATGATTTACTAAAAGAGAATCTCAAAGACTTCATTTGCAAAAACAGAGAACTCCATCTTCACAAACCTTCAGAAAACCCACTTTTCCATCGTCTACCTGAGACAATATCAGTCAAGTTATCTCTATTCTTGTCATTTCTACTGAGTCAAATATCTGTGAAGGTTCTCAGTCATCCAGGTCATGGAATTCCTCGCTGCACTGGACTGCGTACACCATGTTGCTTTGTTTGTTTGTGTCTCGGTGTCTTGTGAACAGAACCGGTTCACCCTAAGGACAAGACACTGAGACACAAACAAAGCAACGTGGTGTACACAGTCCAGTGCAGCGAGGAATGCCATGATCTGTACATCAGGGAGACAAAACAACCGCTCCACAAGCACAGAAGAGCAGCTCCTCAGGACAGGACTCAGCAGTCCAGCTGCATCTCAAGGACAAAGGACACTCATTAGAAGACAACAACGTACAGATTTTGGCCAGAGAGGACAGATGGTTTGAGAGAGGGGTGAAAGAAGCCATCTAACTGGAAAGACCATCCCTCAGCAGAGGTGGAGGTCTGAGGCATCACCTCTCACCGGTTTACAATTCAGTGCTAACATGTCTCCCCAGGAAGATGAAACCTCATTAACACCTAACCACAACAGACCCTAACGAACCACATTGTGGCAGGAGGAGCACTAACGACTCACATAACGAGGGGGAGGAGCAACAATTGAAACCAAAACTCAAGTGTTAATGGCTCCTTACGGATATCTGGAACTCCCAACTAGTCAGTCAGAAGTGATGAAGCCTCTTGGATGAGAGGTGGAACGTACCTCTCATCCAAGAGAAAGAAAACGTACGATTTCTCTACCAGAATACTGATTCAAATCCACTCAGCTTCAGTTTGATTGATATGATCTCAAGCAATCAACAACAACGAAAAAAGTTTCCTGAAAATCTACAAAAATGGAGTTATCTGTTTTTGCACATGAACTCTTCAATTGTTTAATCATCATATTTGATCATGTTTTTACATGTTGTGGGTAAACACGTGAGCATCTTTAGTTTGTAGCATTCATTGTGTTTTGTTGAAACTTACCAAGATCTCAATATCGTGCAGGTACGCTGAAAAGGAGACGACAACAGCATGCAAACCAACAGTCCCAGGGCCAGCGCCACCACCGCCAGAACAGAGAGAACTATCAGATGGGACAGATGAGACGCTGAGACGCTGCTCCGCTCTTTGCCTTGGTTCTTCTTAGTGCCTACAGTGGGAGCGCTTCACTCCAAAGAGTTACCTTTACCACATACTGCAAAATTCAAAGAACTTGCAACTGAAACAACTTTTAATGGACAAAGCCCAAAGTGTTTTGGGGGGTCTAACAAACTCACTCAGCACCTCTGCTCCGAGAGCCAGATCAGCAGTGGTTCACATAGCTTTTATAGGAAACAAATGATTTTTTCCAGGGAGGGACGGGGGGGGAAGAAATTCACTGATCTTTGTTATGTGGTCTTAATCTTACCGTTTTCCTCTGAATGCTTTTTCATCAGAGTGGAGGAGGAGGAGAGAAGCAGCTTCGTTCGCCTTCCTCTGTCCTCCATCTGTGCAACTTTTCTTTCCTTTTCCTTTCCTGCCCGTCCTCTCCTAAATGCTGCCATCATCAGCACAATAGCGGGACTGCAAGTCACACGAGTTTTTCGCTGCCAATCAAAAACAGCATCCAGACGTTGAAAGAAAGCTTGTTTTTTTTGCCAATGTGATGAGATTGTTTTAAATCAACAACTGAAGCTTCTTTTTTTTTTTTTTTCCATTTCTACGGCATACATGTTCTTTCCGTGTGTACAGTAGTGTTTGTTTTTTTTCTTTCAATTGAAATAGATTTTCTGTGTAATGAAGATTATTTACTGTTTTAATTCACTTTCTCAGGATCAATAAAACAACAGCAAACAAGAGTAGAAGACGGCTGCATGCGTATTCAGGGTACAGTCCCTCCTGACGCCTGTCCAGACGGGTCGAGCCGCCCGGGTCGGCTTGTATACGAACAGAATGTAGACACGTGAGCCTAATAAGAATATAGTGTCGACTGCTGCGGGATTCATTTGATTTATTTCTTGTTGTGAAACGACTTTGCAGTTTACATAAAGGTATATAGTATGCGCTGCCTGAAACACACAGTGAGAAAATAGCTTTTTTATAACCTGATTGTATCACACTTTTATTCTGTCATTGCTGTTTATTTTTTTCCCTCCTAACTCGTCGCTTTGGCTCGAATCTGTGACAATTTGTGAAACCACTTTGTGCTACGTGTGTCTTTACATTCAGAATGAAAAAAAAGAATGTGTTAAAACTGTGCAGACAAAGAAGCTTAGATAATTAACAGAAAAACAGGCGTCCTGCGTTTCCACTCCATGTGATGTATCCACCTTGTTCTTAAAAGAAAAATCAACCCCCCGTCGGTCAGATCATCCAGACCTCTGTAGCCGGTTAAGGAGCCTGTGTGGTTGAAATATGATTGTGGATTCTGCTTTTATCGGTTTTAATCGCAGTTCAGGTTATTTGTTACACGTGTGGAGGAGCTGAATCACTTTGGGGGGAAACTAGAGATTCTAATTTTACTGTTGCTTTGCTGCTGCTGCTAACAGAGCTGTTTATCTGAGCGAACAATCACCATGCGTCAGCCATCCACTACTGTTCTTTTTTTCCTCCTACTGACATGGGTTTTCTCAAGGAGGCTTCGTTGCCCCTGTTCACCCTCTTGGTTCGTGTAATTGCGTAAAAAAAAATGTGCCTACTCAGAGCAGCAGCGTTGACAGAAGTTGTTATGTCAGTGATATTTACCAAGGCTGGAGTATTGCATGAGGTGGCAGTTTGTCTGATGTGGCTTAGGGCATGGCAATATGTAATAAACTATATCACCCAACAACAACAAGAAAAAAGAGAGAGAGAGGCATATTTAGATTATTATATCCAACAAATGGTTTCCAGCTTTTTTTTAAAAAGAATTCTTTGTCATTTTCTTTTTGAAGCTATATTCCTGCCTGGCCCTAATTTGGCTTAACTTGTGCGGTTCTCAGCCACGGTAGATGAAAGCTAACGTCACTGACAGATGGATGAGACTGCAGGTTGAGTTGCTAGCGAAATATAGAAATGTATATCTGTAGTTTCTTACCTTTATTTTCGGAGGGAACAACTTACAAACAGAGTTGTTGTGCAAGGCTGGTGCATTATTGATCAGATAGATTCTATGCAGAGTATCACGGGGGCTCCACAGTCGGCCTCTTCGCAGAGAAATGCCTTCTATGTGTTCTCCTGAATGGGTACATGGGGAAAATTCATTTGCGTGTTCATGACATCGTAGTTACTCGTGTCCGTGTGCTGCTTGCAGAGTTTCTGAGCAGTGAAAAATGCCGTCGCTCCTTTTACTGATTTTGTCTTTTGTTGGTGCTACTGGTCGTGCTTTTTCTTGGGTCAGCGCTTAAAGTATATTTTTCATTATCAAATTTTACAGCTTTTATGTGTGTGTGTGTGTGTGTGTGTGTGAGAGAGAGAGATGCTTTGCTGAGTCGTTCTTTTACTTGTTGACATTATACGATAATGGGGGTAATACTGGGTGATGGGGGTTCATACTCTGGGAATTTTTGTTCTTTCGTTCACATGTGTTGCTTTGATGTTGAGAAAATGTGCACTGAACAGTGATGTAAACAGAGAATCCAAAATGTTCTAGATTCTGTACTACTGTCTGATTTCATGTCTCTTTTGTTTTATACAGTGTCTTTTTTTGTTTGTATTTGTTTGTTTGTTTGTTTCTCCATTCTGCTTACTTTGAAAATTTTATTATATTTGCAAAGGTATTGTGCAAAAATATAATTTCTTTTGAACTACTTGAAATGCATTAATAAACCAGAATTGATCAAGTGTTGGTTTTACCGTTTGTCCGTACAGCAGCAGAGGTTGGTTTTGTGATTGTGTGATTATAAATCGTTCTCGTCGCAGCGTGAAAGGTTTCACAGTCGTGTTGAGGACGCTTTTGGCCAGAGTGTGGCGCTGTTGTCTCCACTGCTTCAGAACAGGATGGTCAGACATGAGCTTTTTCCTGATTCCCTCTCTAACTGTCTGCCCCCTGGAGCCACTACCTACTAAATACCTGCTCCTATTTGGTGTCTCTTCCTGATTCACTCGTACAGTTCAGACGGTGGCCGACAGAACCTGACAGCTACACCTTCATTCAGCCACAGTGTTTGAATGTTTTAGGCCTGAATCATTTTGTCAGTATGAGATATGGGCTGCATATGGTTAGCATCGTCGCCTCGCAGCTAGAAGGTCGCTGGTTCGTGTCCCGGTGAGGACACCCGGGATCTTCTACGTGGAGTCTCCATGTTCTCCCCGTGCAGCGTGGGTTCTCTCCGGGTTCTCCGGCTTCCTCCCACACAGTCCAGAAACATGTTGAGGTTAATTGGTGATTGTAAATTGTCCGTAGGTGTGAATGTGAGTGTGCTTGGTTGTCTGTCTCTAAGTGTGGCCCTGTGATAGACTGGTTACCTGTCCAGGTGAACCTGCCTTCACCCTGAGTCAGCTGGGATAGACTCCAGCCCCCCATGACCCTAGTGAGGATTAAGCAGTGTATGGATGGATGGATGAAATATGAGAAACATATGAACCTCAGGAAAACAAACTCAAACCAGAGCGTAGAATAGAAAAGAACAGTGTGTGTTTATTGCTCTGGCACGAGATCAAGACGTGGATTTACATGATGTTACTGACAGTAGTAATTTAGGTTCTAAAAGGCCGGCAGTGATCATTTGACACACATTTAAAAAAACAAAAAAGAAGCATCCTTTTGGAATCAGTGTTATCGAGGGGAACTTTAGACTTTGTTTTCGTTGCCTTACTATTTGAGTTTCAGCTGTTTAAACACTCAGAACCACCTGAACCTGGGCTGGTGCTTCAAACGGCACCGTGTCGCTCTGCTGAGAACATTCATGTGCAAAACATAACTTATGAATAATTTCATCACATAATCAGACACATTTCTGTAAATTGTAAACAGCTTCATTTTTTTCCCAGGATTCAATTCTCCTATTAAGGGCATCTTTCAGGCAATTAATGATTTCTAATTATCCTTCCCTAAACCTGCACAGCCTCACCGGGAGCTGTGAGAATTCTTGTGACCTTCCAGATGTTTCATCAGAGATCTTCAGTCTGTCGGACAGATTTCTCACAAGTTGTGCTTCCTCCTGCGCTGCTTCGGTAAGTCTTCTTTACAGCGCACAAACACTTTGTCTTCAGACACTTCCAAGTGCTGTCCGTCGTTAGACATGGCACAAAAAGACGTCCTGAAAAAAACAGAGATGAGGTTGTTGACAAGAAACACAGGATTCAGATTGTGTGAATCCTCCACTAGATGGTGTTAACAGACTGTGAAGGTGGAGACGTGGACCTGCTGTCTGTAGTGGGAAACTGCAAGATGTTATTACATCTGGTGGGAGCAACACATCAGCAGAAAAGTTTACAATATGGGACCTTTAATGTATTTAATAATATTCATGTAGCAATAATAATCTATAATAATGCTCTACTTTGACTGAGCTGCTTATGTCCCTCCTGCCTTGCAGTACATTGCTTTACTCGAACAACTTTAAAGTACTTTCACTGCACTTGACTACTTCCATTCTGTGGTACTCTATACTTCATTTTTCCTTCATGTGTTTTTTTTTTTTTTACAATCCCACATCTTTAAAGTGTCAAACTGCATCTATTTAAAAAGATGAATGTGGTGTTGCTTGTGTTTGATGCTTTTTAATCACAGCGCTCGATGAATTTGGCCAAAAAGCTAACAATGTGTGTTGGAATACGGGATGACATGTCGTGTAGGATTTGTGCATTTTGACTTCTTTTAACACCTCAAGTCGTCGGTAACTCGTGAGACTTGAACTCTTGGAACAACAAGCTTTACCTCTCCTGCGTCTCGCCTGCCTTGACGCTGATTTTGCCCATAGTCAGCAGCGGTTTGGCCTCCTGGCCGCCCCAAGGAATGATGGTCTGCACCCGGTTCCACACATTCTTCCACAGGGCCGATCCCTCCCAGTGCAGCTTGAGCAGCATCAGGTCTCCCAAGTCTTTGTCCAGCGTGATGAGGAAGGTGAAGGTCGTGTTTCCTGAAATCTCGTCGTTGCTTTTGGAGAGTTTAAAAACAGAGGGGAAAAAAAAAAAACAAAACAAGTTATTGCAAAGAAACCTCAGAAGGCTTTGTCTCATTCCAAAGCAACAACCTGCTGTTGCGATGAACCAAAGCAGGACAGCAGATGAGCTTCCCTCTGCTCGCCCGAGGCTCTTTGATACACAGAATATGAAGGATAACACAGTTGTCGGGGAATGGTGTCTTGTTTAAATTATTTATTCCATCGGCCCCATTTATAGTTTTCTTTCATGCAGCAGCTCGAGTTGTTTCCATGTGTGTCAGCTGCTCTGCTCAACTTGCTTTCTTTCTTTCTTTATAGAGCGGAGAGCCCAGCTGCATATTGCATGCGACCGAGAGGCGTGGAGGCGATGTGAGCCTGATGGGGGGGTGGTGGTGGTGGTGGTGGTGGTACGGGGCTACTCACAAGGTGATGGTGACGTCTCCACTCTCCTCCTTTGTTCCAGTGAGGGCGATGGTCAGGGTGGGATCAATGCTCTCCATCTGATTGATGAACTGGATCCTGAACTGGTAATGATAGACTGTGGAGGAGACGCCAGACACAGAACGAGGAGGTGAGATGATGACAGAAAAGCCGTCCAGCAGCTTTCTGTTCACGTCGTCAATCTGATGTAAAGGATTATTATAAAGTGGATGTAATGTGAGTTTTGATGAGAGCTGATACTGAGAGCCAACCGAAGGCCCCTGAACACATTTAGTTTATCAGATTATAATACAAACAGAGTCACTTTGAATTCACAGACGTACTAACTTATATTTTAAATACACACTGTACAATATTTGTTGGGGAAAAAAAACAGAAAAAAACACATAATTGAGTCCATGAATATTGCATTGATTGTGCATTTCACACCCAAAACCCTTTTTACAGTTATAGCTTTTTTAAAATTAGATTTTGTGTGTGTGTGTGTTTTCAGCCCATCCATCTCACTGTTCCCCAAATAACACTCAGATGTTTAATCTAAGTTTAAAAAAACTCTAAAAAACAGCACCATCTGACTGTAGAAACATACCAATCACACATTAAAATGTACTTAAGCGTCAAAAATATATTTAAAATACCAAAAGTAAAATCATTTTAGAATGATGTACTTTTTGTTCGCTGCAGCTGATGAATGTTAAGCTGAGTTCAATGACCTGAGCTCACAAATTTCCCTTTTTAAACCCATAATAATGCATCATAATGCTTATTTTGTATTTTAAACCTGCATCTGTGAAGTAACTAAAGCAATCTAATAAATCTAGTGGGGTAAAAATCCAATGTTTCACTATAAAGTAGAATAAAACTGAAACACAAATAGCCCAAAACTGACTTTAGGAACAACATTTTAGTAAAAGTCTTGGTTATTTTATATGTTTTATTGGTTATTTTGCAGGTCTGGTGTGTTGGGGTTAAGTCAGGAGTGAGTTCTTTTTTTAAAAATTATTATTATTATTTCTTAAATCTCATGAAAATCCAACAATGTTTGCATGTTTTTATAAATGTTCTGAATTTTTCTACCCACCCCTAAAGCCTTTTGTCCTTCTACTATAAATCCAAACAGAAATTCATTTTCTATTATTATTATTATAGTTTACATAAACCTCTGTCAGGTCCTGAGACAGCTTTAGTAAATATCACTCAATCAGAGGAAGATATTGCTTTTATTCTGAACTATTTAGACCTGATGGAATAATATTCATTTAGTGCTCTGATGAGCATTAATGACAGCAGGACAGTAAATACAGAATACACTCAATATATAAATGTTTCCTCACATTGTGAATCCTTCTCTGAGTTTAGTTTGTAGAAAGACAGTGACCAGAGATGCATAGCTGTGTCTTAAGGCTGTTTGACTGGACTGAACATACGTTTGTAAGGCATCCGAGGTCCCGTTTTCAGGTAGAGCCTCTTGCTGGTGCCGGTTCGGACCTTCTTTATGTCGTAGCCCAGCGTGTTGCAGCGATTCTTTCGACAGTCCAGACAGACGCCTTTGACAAAAGCGTTGTTGTCGCTGCACCTGTAGGCCGTGCTCTGCTTGTCCTTATTCAGCAGGGAGTCGATGAACAGATGGACGGAGCGTTCGTGAGCACATTTCACTGTTTGCTCAAAACCTATGAGAAGCAATTTAAAAAGAAAGAAAAGGTGGTGGAAATTTAAAATACAATGAAAACCATTTATTTTTTCCTTCCTTTGATCTGGGGTTCAACAGATCACGGAGCAGCTTAATCACAGTGTCTGACCATTATTTGTGGATTGACTTCATTATCACCCGATCCTGACATCTATCAGCCCGTTCCTCTGTCACATCTCCTAACAGTGTCTCATTATGGCCGACACCGGTCCGCTCTGGAGGCCTTTTCCTCTGCATAGGACTGGTGTAGCCTGGAGGCAGCTCAGCTCAGAGGGATGGACAGAGTGGAGGATGGCACATGTTGCTAATTAACTCCCGCCGATGACAGACGCTTTAATGTGGTTCTCACTGTCATATTATGCGGATGTGTTTTGGATTGAGAAGCACCATCGGTCCCAGAGCCACTTCTGTCGGACTGGAGGGAATTAAATACGGCTTGAACACAGAATGAGAAACTGTCAACAAGCGCAAGATGAATTGGCGCCCCAAGACACGCTTTCTAAACCAGTGTTTTGAGGTGGCAAGACCAATTAGGAACAAAAATGTTATGATATGGAGCACACAAAGAGGCAAACCACTAATCCTTTAAGCAGCACAACGAGCTGCTCTGATAGGAGATGAGCTCTAAATGGCCAGAAATCTGTTTATTCAGGCAGGAAAAAGGCCGACTCCTAAACAAAGGCTCCTTTAATCCCACGAACAATCATAACTGTGAGTCTTAAAAACACAACAGGAGCTTTGGCGTTCCTAAAAAGTTTTATCTGGATTTTTTAAATCATTCTTTGTTTCAGTAAAATTTAGAAATATTAAAACACCTCTCCAGTCATTGATGAAAGCCTTAAACTTATCTGTGTATCAGAATCACATATTTAGACTTTCTTTTTTTACATGAAAACAACCTTGTCCTGCCTCAGATGTAGCTTTACACCATTTCTTCCTTTAGCATAAGCAGATCTATGACTGCTACATGGTGCACATTAGCAAGCTGTGACTTTGGAGTAACTCAGGGATGTGTGTTTGAATCAAAAGTCGATTCAGAATCAGAATAATGACATGAAAAGTTTAGATTTGTTAC